AGACCAACACCCACCTCGCTACAACCTCCTTTCAGGTAGTTGTAGAGAGCGATGAGGTCTCCCCTCAGCCTCCTCTTCTCCAGGCTAAACAACCCCAGTTCCCTCAGCCGCTCCTCAGAAGACTTGTTCTCCAGACCCCTCACCAGCCTCGTTGCCCTTCTCTGGACACGCTCCAGCACCTCAACGTCCTTCTTGTAGTGAGGGGCCCAAAACTGAACACAGTATTCGAGGTGCGGCCTCACCAGGGCCGAGTACAGGGGCACGATCACTTCCCTACTCCTGCTGGCCACACTATTTCTTTCTGATACAAATAATAATAATAATAATAATACCGTTTGTATCACTTAATGGCACTATTGCTTTTTAACCGAGTTGATTTACTTTGCCAGAGGTGAGCATCCTAGTGCAGAAGAACTTCAGTTTTGCTAACGGGCTGCAATGTATGTTGCAGGACATTTACCTCCATAATCCAAACGTGAAGTGGGATGATATCATTGGACTGGATGCAGCTAAAAGGCTAGTCAAGGAAGCAGTTGTTTATCCCATAAGGGTAAGGCGCTAAATAGTTTTGAGAAAACCAGGGTTGAGTTCGTTAGCATTTTCCTTGTCATAACAGTGGTGTTTTAGAGTTCTCACTCTTTCTGTGCTTTTGTAGGCAGTTCGTGTTAGAACTATTCCTGTTCCTGTTTCATCTGACAATGGCATATGCATTCTCCTATAGGAAAATGGCCTTTCACTATTAAAATTATAAGTGTTGTGTCCTATTCTTTGGCGCCTTTGGCAATGTGAGAGGTGCCGGATTTGGCCTATATTAATTCAGTGGAAAATGACTTCTAGAAGAGAATATCAAACCAATTGCCTTTGAAGAATTCACTTAATTTCAAATGGTAAATACAGTATTCTTCTCGGTACTCAGATCATATATGTTGTATTGTTTTGGAGGGTTTTGCCCCCTCTCTCCGAATTTCTTAGGTTTCCCGAATGTGTTGGGAGCAGTGGGGCTAGGGGTTAGAATCCCTTGCATTTTGTTATACATGATACATTTTTAATCCCTGAATTACTTTTTGGTTGCCACAGTACCCCCAGCTGTTTACTGGCATTCTGTCTCCTTGGAAAGGATTATTGCTCTACGGACCACCAGGTATGAAGAGCTTTATACCATATCCATTTGTTTATCACTACTTCTGGTTTTGTCCCACGGATAAATCATTGATGCTAATTAAATCAAATGTATTAATAAAGAACATGTTCTATAGTGTGACATAAAAGGAGACGATGGTGGATGATTACGTCCGTCTCTCACAGTCAAACCTGTCCATTTGCCTTTCTCACAACCCTTGACTATTTCTGCACCTGAATCTTCCAAAAGCCAGTACTTAGACTAACCATTCAGAGCAGTGAGAACTCACGTTATATCTGTTTTCACTCAGCTTGGGCCATGTAAATCAAGTTTGGCTTGACCTGATCTTACAAAATGTGAATAAATCTGGCATGGACTCATCTTCTTAAGGAAAACATCCTTTCTTCTGCATTTGGGGGTTGTTTTGGAAATGGGGTGGAAGCTTTGCCCTCTGCTGTGCTCGCTGGGTGTTTTCCATGTCAGCACAGCTTCACTGCTCCCTCTGCTCCACCTTGACACAAGCGCTACCACCATGAGTGTGGCTGGGAGGGGACAGAGGGCACAAGTACCACCTGAGTCAGGTTGCAAAGGCTGTCGCTGCAGTAAACTCCATTGGTTCCTGTGAATGTTTAGATGTACTTGCCACAGAAGGCATCTTGACCTGTAGTCACCTGTAGCGTGTAGTACTTCAGAATTTGGGGAATGCATTTGCAGTGCTCTATTACCTGAGTTTCTCCAGACAATCCTGGAAGGGCCACAAAATGATCAGAGGGCTGGAGCACCTCTGCTATGAGGAAAGGCTGAGAGAGTTGGGGTTGTTCAGCCTGGAGAAGAGAAGGCTCCAGGGAGACCTTATTGCAGCCTTTCAGTACTTAAAGGGGGCTTATAAGAAAGATGGGGACAGACTTTTTAGCAGGGCCTGTTGCGACAGGACAAGGGGGAATGGCTTTAAACTAAAGGGGGGCAGATTCAGACTAGA